CTTTTCAATAGAAAACAATGATGCTGAAACTGCATCTTGCAAAATCTGCAAACTGGATGTTTCTCATGGTGGGAACAGCAGGACTCGCTTTAATACTACCAACCCTGTCACTTGGAAAGAAATAAAGAAGTAAAGCTATCGGATCGGTCTTGGAAAGACTAGTCATTAAAGAAGTCAAATTGTATCTGGAGCCAAAAAATCTGGATCGGGACATCTCTAGTAAATATGTTTCCATTAGTTATTTGTAAAAGAAAGCCTAAATATTATGAGTAGTTTACTTCAAATGTACAGTCCACACAATAAATAAATAAATTGGGAATCTCTTTCCTTACCTTCTGGTCCTGGTTAAACACCAGTTTTGTAAGAGAGATGGTTCCCTTTTCTATCCATCTGTTGTGTTGCATTGTTGCCATTGGTGATGCTCATAGGTGTCTCTTTATCAGGTCAGCTGCAGCTCAGGTCAGTGGGTTTTTCTTCTTTCTTTRGACATATAAGCAGCCATTGTTGAAAGGATCTATTGGGTCGTTTCCATAGCAATAAGCAGCGTTCACATCATACAAGTCTCTGGGTAAAGTAGGATGAAGCACCAGGGTGTCTTAATAGTGCCGTCTTTTTTAATACATTCACCTAATATAAGMGGAAACTTTATTGTCCTCCAAGGTGGACATTTTCCTTTGACTCTCCAACCATAAAATAAAAAACATTCATTCATAGAATCACAAACACATACTGTCCAATATATAATTAGTAAATTAAGTGTTAACCCTTGCATTTYGATTTATTGAAACAAAACAATTTTTATTGTGTTAAAACTGCATTTAAACTGATACTTGTTTGTTGTTTTCTTTAATTTTTTTTGACAATGAAGTTTTGAATCAGCACAGAGTAAACAATGATTTTACAACTGGGTTCCATTTCCTGGTGTTACCCTTAGAGTTTGAGTTTCCTCTTGGTCCATGATGGTCCTGATGCATGCTCAATAATCCAGGTAGAAAAATCTGACAAGGTTGAGTCAGTTCGTCTGGACGGATTCTTCTTTGTTGAAACATTTAATCTTTAATCCAAAAGACGTCTTCATTCTAAGGAGCTGGTTAGGTAAACTCAGCCTATACCTTCGCATAGTGGATCAACCAGTTTGTTTGTGACACCCAAACCTGTTCTTCACATGCGAAAGGAGGAACATGCTCTGACAACTGGTAGTTAGTGCCCAGATGGCCACTTCTGGTTCACAGATCTGAGTGATACTCRCAAAAACAGCATTGTAACKGTTCAACAAAGAACCCATCCAGAGGATATAAATATGTCCACGTTTAGTAATGTGAGAGAAATCCACATTTTTCTGTTTATTCAGTCAGYGTTTAATACAGCTGGYAYMATGAATTGTTAAAATAATACTGTACTTTTTTAAWTT